AAATTTTTGTTATTGTCAAAATTTTTGACCCTAAAATAAAATAATTTATACAAGACTCGCGACCAACCCATCTAAAACCTACTTAACCCATCCAACTTTTTTAAAAGATAAGCAGAACTATGCGATTTTAATGGTAGTTATTTGTAATTAGCAACTTTGGTTATTTAAAACTTTAACCATATTTTTATGAGTTACAAACTTAAAAAATATAATTTTTATAGTGTTCATATGGTTACAGTTTGTAATTCTACTAGATTTTATTGTACTATATGTACACGATCTTCTAAGGGTTTTAAAAATTATGCAGGCTTACAACGACACGAGACGTCTAAACATGCAACATATAATTTATTACCAAATCACATTCAGTCAATACCGGAATCAGAACTTCTTCATTTGAAAAATGCTGTAATTAAAGAATTACAAAAAAGACTCAAAAATTATCATCGTGCTGTTGGAAAACAAGTATTTTCATTACATTGTAGTGAAAATGCTTTTGTTGGATTATTTGGTGCCTATATTACATGTTATTCGCCTTGCGATTCTTTTTATATTTGCAATTTTAAAGGAGAAGATGCCATTGATACAATTGGATCAATATTCAACAACAATAATTAGTATAAGCGTCACTACAGTAATGGTTAGTTAAGTTTTGTTAGACTTTATATGCCAAAAGAACGGGATAAATCAGAAAACTATAATGAATCACAACATAAAAAAAAAGACCAAAAACAATCAAAAAAATCCTGATCAAAATTATCTTCAAATGGCGAAATGATTATAGAATGGAAAGTAACTGGTTTTAAAGATAAGGAAAACCACGAATATAGAGCAGGAGTGCTTCAAATTCGCTTTTTCTTAGATCAGTGTCAACTTTAATAAATATATTATTTTGAATAAAAATTTTTGAGCAATTAGCGTTTTTTTTTTGGATTCTAAAAAAATAATGTTCGATCTAATAAAAATAATAGATGCATTACTATTTTGAATTTTAATAATTGTAGTATATATTTAGTATATTATCTATGAATTTTTGCCTCTAATTGTGATATCATTTGGATCAAGCCCTTCATTACCAATTAAAAATCATTAAATGAATGCTCGGATATATGATATTAATAAAATGCTATTAATGCTTAAAAAGAATAAGTTACAAAAACCTCAGAAATACTAAATTAATCATATTGCAAATTATGTGATCCATTGTACATAGTATATCAAAAAAAAAAATTGTTTTTTGTTGGCAAATTTTATTAAATGCATTTTATAATCAGATTCATCATAATGTATGTATGTGACAATAATCCTGTACTAGAAACGATTTCTCTTTATAGAACAATGAGATTGAGAAAAACTTGATTCTGATGCATTTTTTTTAAAATTGCCAAATTTAATCGCATAATTGAGCTTCCTGTTCATCTGACAAGTAAAGAAATAATAATCACATTAGACTACATATATAGTATATGAATGTGTTGCCAAGGAAAACTAACTTCAGGCTTTTGAATTTATTATTGACCGGAGTCAGCCCCTCACGATCTGATTAGTGATACATAATAGAAATCAAGCTTCTAGTTGTTTCCAATTGGTCAATACAAAAATTAAATATTTCATCAGATCAATTTTTTAAAGGTTGAGTTTGGCAAAAAATATAACTGAAAGTCTGAAGTCTAGTTTTTCCTTGGCGTCTCAAATATAGTAATACTGGCTGACAAAATATTTAAGATTACTTACGAATCTGTGTAAGGTTTATATTTAGAACCTCTGATTGAATAAGATCTAAAAAAAATTTAGTGTTATATATATTGAGTAAATTTAAAATTCTGACTAATAAAGAATATTATACCGATTTTGCGTGTAAATTCCTTCACTATGTTCCTTTTTTCATGATGTACAGTATAATGCCAAGACTATTAAGATAACCAGAACCTATTATTATGCATTAAAAGTATATTGACATACCGTAGAATAACTTCGAGCTTGTGTTTATCACATAACCCCTTTCAGAATCTCTGCTCAGTTTTTCATAATATCACAGCATGCTTCTACCTATAACAGCTTCATCAAACTTGGTGCTACTTTTCAAGAAACTATTACAAATGAAAAATGTTGGCTAGTGACATAACCTGCTATGACAAAAAAGAGGATTGAAAAACAAAAAGATTCTGATAAAGATGACGAATGCTTGAATGAACCAGTAGCTTATCACCCTTATCTGACGAAAATTAAAAAGACCAAGTATTCCATTTCTCTAGATCCCAGAGGTTATATTCCCAATAAGTTATTGTATATGACCTGATCCTTTTTTGATTATAATATGCGATTAGTTACTTCTGTTAAATATATATATCAAATGTGTTAACTACTATTTTATAATTTAAAATCAGTATACGAATTCACTATAAACAACAAACCTATTATGTGAGAACAGATACGTTCACTTCACAGGCATCTGAAAACAACAAAGCTGATATTTCTAGGCTAGTGGATACTCACCCTAATCTGGCTTCAACAATTAAGATGGTTAGAGATAAATTTCTCTAAATTCAAGAAACCTGGTTCATAGTTTTAATTAATTAAATATTATATTGATATAATATAAATTTTTGAATTTTTTTTAATATAATAAATAATTGTCAATTTATAATCAACCTTATTCGTTTAATACAATTGCTCATTATATTTTTCCCTACATTACCTTATTATTATGCCTGTAGAGTCTGGCTTTGGATTTTTTTTTCACTATAAGATTTAACGTATATCGGCCTTTATCAGTTAAATCGTCTACATAATCTAAGATATCGAATTACCAATATGATGTAATTTTGCTTCTCTATACTATAACCATATCCAAAAACCTGATTAATTGTGTTAGATTTTCTAAAGAAATGCAATATCCGTTAATAAAATAATTGGCATATAATGTATCATATATACAATTATAAATACTCTTGTAGTTTTGTTTATACCTCAATCTTTTCAATAGACTGATCCATTCGGTCGTAATTTCTTCAAGACAGCTATTTTCTGAAACTAGGTTAAGTAAGAATAATTAAGATGATTAATGAAATTTATAAATTAAAAAATAATAATAATAATAATTGAATTTAACTATCTAATATTACGATGCCTAGTCACGATACTTTTAAAAGTAAATTCTTCATAAATTTTGTCTAAGAGATTCACTGTTTTCTCATGAACTATTTTAGCCAACTATAATCATATATTTGACATCTTCGGTTTTACTAAGTAAGTCAAGATCCCATATTTTTCATATATCACGGTTAATAATGAAGAGTATAGTATATTTTTTCATAGCTTTTAATAACTACTTAAAATAGATTAGTTTTACCGCTAATTAAATCATAAGAAGTTTCACTGTGACGGTTACTACTATAGTTATCAGTTGTTTTTCCTAACAGAACTATATGAAACAAAAAATATAGTATATACATTAATTGTGTTTATATGTAAAACAGTAAAAGCATAGAATAATTTTATCTCTATACCTTAATATCAGAATCAGGCGCTAAGATCAAGTTGCTTAACAAATATACTACTATTATCAATATAATAATAAGATTTTATAGATCGAATAGCTATTGATATGATATTATGATTCACAAAGAAACTAATACCCTTGGTTTTTTTAACACGTAACTATATTTTAAACAATCTAAGAAAAAAAATAAAAAAGTTAAATAGAAGTAATAACTATAAAATGTAAATATTAAAAACTTACTGATATATCAAGTCTTCGTTAATTTAAAGAATATATTAAGAATTAAACCAATAATATAAATAAATATTTGCTTAAAAGAAGTAGCAAGATATAATTAGTTTTATTATGCTTTGATCGAATAAACTAATACTTCAAATTCTTAAATAATCGTAAAAGAAAGAATTGAAGCATTAAAAAAAATTCATTGTATTGAAATTTATATAAGATAATAAATCCAGCCATCGTAAGTATATAATCAAAGAGCGAATCTGAATTCTTTAAAAAATTTAAAAATAGTTAATAAATTAACTTATAATAAAAGTTACTACGTATAGTTATTGTTATTACCTGTTATATTATTCAGATTCAAGTCTATATTTTTTAGATTTTTTAAAAAAATTTGGAGTATCATTAGTTGTAAAATAAAGTTGCTGATTCTCATGCTCTAAAATTTCTAAAATTGCTGATCTTCGTGAATTCTCATGACCTCCATCCTTCAATGTATTTTGAAAATATCGACAAACTTGTAAATGATTTTTTTTTTCAATAGCGGAACATGAAAATGCAGCTAGTCCAAAGTTATAATGGATATCTAAAAATTCGGGTACATGGTTTACTAGCACATGAATATAAAGCGTGACGTCTTGTGTACGATACATTCCTCGAATAAAATTAATTCTATTAGGTTCACCCTGAGATGGAGCTAAAAAAGACATTAACCAATTTTGTGCTTTTTCATAAAAGACCTTGCCTGTAGTTTTTTTGTCTTGCATTAAATCATATAGTTCATAAAATTGATTCCAAAGATTTTGAACTTGTGTTGCTCGAGTAGTTGATTAAAAAATCGCTGTAAAATTAAGATTTTGTAAAATTTTTAACTTATTAGGACCCATAAGTGAAGTATATGATAAATTGTTATTTTTTTCACGCCAAAATTAAAAAGCTATTTTAAGTCTTTTCATTTTATCTAAAATTCTTGTTTGCCAAATTGTTTCTTTAACTTGTTCTCGATCAAGATCCAACAACATTAATTCCCATAAACGATCTGTTACTCTTAAAAAAATATGTAACTTGTCACAAACCCAGTTATAAAGAGGTATCATATAAAATAAAGGTTCATTTAAATGATCATTTATTTTAGAATAATCAGTTTTAATGATTTCTAGCGACTTTGTAATCTGTGCTCAGTTCGTAGTCATGTGATGTCGATCATGGGATGTTCACTGAACCAATGCAAGTTTATGCACAGTAGAATATACACGAACACAATATAACACGTATTATACATTTGACGTTTTAAAATTTACAGTAAATCGAATTATTATTCTACTTCTAA